ATCACAACCCCAGTTATCCCTGCAGGTCATTTTGCCTAAGCCAAGCAATCTGCTATTCCATTCGACTAGCAACCTAAAACACAAATACTAACACTACCCAAACATTGGAACTGCCCGAACACTGGCTGCCTGAAGCAGTATGTTGCTACATAACTGCTTCCCAAAATCTATTGCAACCTTCCTGGTCTCAATTCATCCCTTAGACATGTGAAATATCGTGTTCCATCCCGACTACGGAGCCGAAAGACTCATACACAGTCGCTCTACATGGCTTCTGAACGAAATCCTTCTTTGGAACTAGTTGCCACTAGTTATCATGTCACTGTGGCTCTAACAACCTCCTCATCTAACCGATCGGTTCCATGTGTCGAATCCTAACATCACCACACCCAAGGCTAAAAGTGATGGCTCCGTGACCAACAGTAGCCTTATATCATACACAAACCTAAGCAATCCATTGCTTCCCTGATCTCATAACTGTAGTGACGTTGTAACTATCGTATCACTGGCTCAACCAGATCTAATCCATTTGGGTTATCCCGAAATCCAATCTGTCGAATTCCATATCCTCACTGCTACACCCGAACTGGTAGGTACTACTGTTCCTTCTGCGTCCTAATAAAGAACTCATGTTATCTACCAACCTAGTGAATACTACGACTATACCCACAGACTTACAACACTCTATCACTATCTGGCTGCTAGTGAATGCTACGGTTACAATTGCAGACTTACAACACTCTATCGCTATCTGGCTGCTGGTGAATGCTACGGCTACACCCGCAGACTTACAACACTTCCCATACGAACTAACCACGAGTGAATGCTATGGCTACCCTCATAATCTTACAACACTCCATACTAACTGAACACTAGTGAATGCTATGACTACCCCTGTAGTCTTACAATACCTTCCCTTCTAATTGACCACTAGTGAATGCTATGACTACCCCCCATAGTATTACAACACTTCCCAAACCGGGTCGAACATGCACTCGACCTAACACACCACTGAGCTTGAGTCCTAACTGGAACTATAACCTGGTTCCTAAAACCTGCTACCACGTGACCCCACTGTATCAGTACCGTACCCATGCCCGTGATCAAAGCGTCACAGTAACCCACAAAATCATCTACACCCTCTAACTGGCTGAGAATATGTGCCTCGTACAACCGCTATCTGAAAGTCTCGAAGGTTGCCTGCTACTCGGGCCCCCAGCAAAAGGCCTTCGACTTCTTGGTCAGTCAGGTCAAAGGAACCGCAATCTCGGAGAAGTCCCATGTAAATCTCTAGTAATAACCTGCTATACCCAGGAAACTCTGAATCTTAGATGGAGACCTTGGAATCTCCGACTGTATCACGACCTCTATCTTGACCGGATCAACTAGAATACCGTTCTGGTTGACAAGGTGCCCAAGAGATTGCACCCCATGCATCCAGAACTCACATTTGGAGAACTTTATAAAAAGTCTCTCCCCCACTTAGATTCGACTAAGTCTCACGACATGCGAGAATTTAGGGATTCCCAATCCTTCTCGCTTTCTAGTATCCCACTGACGACAACTTGTGCTCAGCAATGCTAGCGATCAATCACTGGTTAAACCTTAAGATCGCCCATACTCGGAAATCTTGATGAGTACTCTTGAAATCTGGTACAGTCTGACAAAACAATCCACCTTCCATGATGACAACTAGAGGTTCAACGAGTCCTCGTTCCCACTTCCATTCTCGCAGCACCACTAAACTCTATCCGTACACAGCCCATGCGAAAATACAATTCTCTTGAACATCCGACGACCAACCACTTATGTATCTAACACCCGCAACTGACATCACCATCTTCGTGCTACTAATCCTATCTTAGCAATAGTAGTGCCTTGAACTCCAAAGTTCATCCATAGACAAGTTTGACCATATACGAACAAATGATATAATCACTGAACTCTGACTTCACTGGAGGACTATCGCTCTGATCCTGACCCAATATTCTCTGAATAATACTCCAGCACAGATCCCGACAAAGATCCAGAATGATAACGGTACACGCGGAACCTACTTCACAAGATGCGTCCCTCTGCGGGTTCATTAAGGACTTTTCGGCATGCAGGATGGCATATATGATCCTCGATAACCCAAACACTAGTAGAAAACCAACCCGAGATCTGACTTATCCAAACTAATTCACAATTCCAAAGTGATACGAACTACCAACATCCACCTAATAGAAGTAGAAGTTGACATATCCGCAACAACTGGAGGAATACTGATCACCTTCAGCTGACATAATCAACCCTACCACACCTGTAGCAGCCTAAACCCTTGGAGTGACAAACTCCCTTGTGCACTTTCCCGCAGGTGCTTCACTGACTCCGACCCTGCTGGCCTTTCATCCGATGGTCGGAAGTCTTAGATCTCTCCCCGGGACCCCCTACTATACGCACCTAGCACGACTCTCTCCTCTCAAAGTACTCCTAAATCGATCTTGCATCTGCAACCTCTTGGAAATCATGTCCTTCAGGGTCTGATACCCTATCACACTGACTAGCTCACTTGCCCACATTTAAGCTGCAACAACTAGAACATCCTCTGTCCCCAAACTAGGTCACAAACTTCTCCCCGAAGCTTCTCAGATTCTCCAAGACTCTCACCAATTCGAGTATAGATCTTGTGCTTTCAGTAGTACGTGCCCAATACTACCTTCCACACCTATCCATACTTTCCTCAGCAATCCTCCCGAATCCTCTAAGTCACTTCCTTAAACTGGTACACTCAAGTCTCACTGAGCCTCCTTACTAACCCACTGAAACATATCCTAAGCTTTCCTAGGTTCCCGTACTCACCCCAATCCTTAGCTGCTGAAAGATTCCCAATAATGTCAACTAGCTAACTTATGAATATAACCACATGCAACAGAGATCAGATAATCCTTCGAGTAAGAGACCCATCCTTAGAATGGTTTGACTCAGAGTAAGAATCCCACAAAGCACAAAGCAAGCATCATTCAGACAATTGAAAAATCTAACCCTAATAATCCAATCAAACCATTCTATCCTCTAACCAGGAATCTATACATGCCATTCAAAGGCTCATACAATCAGGCATAACCTAAAAAGGCTATCCTATCACTGGCTGATCAGTACTAGCATGCAAGTCTACAAGCACATACAATAGGCATATAAGGCATCCTCCTAGATCCTCATCCCTAATCTAGCATGCAGTTCTCCTAACCATATCATATCATAACATACATAACATATCATATCATGTATGGGTATCTTGGGGAAAACTTACTTGAGCTCGGCTGATTGTACGCATCACACACCCTGTTCTTTTCAAAGCTTGTTTATCTTTTCAAACTTCTTTTTATAAAAAGGGTTTTACTTTTGAAAATTCTCATACCAAGTCCTTATTTTTGAGGTTAGATACACCCGAGAGTGTGCCCAAATCCCTCAAACCAAGACTTTGATACCAACTTGTAACATCCCAAAAATACAGGCCAAAAATTTCATTTTTAAATACATTATTATAAAACCAACAGTATAAGAAAACATCCATAATATCATGTCATGTCAAAACCAAAGTAGAAATAATGAAAACATGTTATCATACAACTATATCATAGTGTACTCCCAAAGCTATCGTGTGTGGAAAACCATAGTGTGATGCGCTGCGATCAAGCTAGCTCCTTTCTCTTGAAAACGAAGTACCTGAAACCAAAACGGAAAACGGTAAGCACAAAGCTTAGTGAGTTCCCCCATCATATCACAAACCATACAATCACAAAGCATACATACTGTCGGGTAATTCTAGGGTGCCCGACCTACCCGGTACGGCCATTCTGGGGTGCCAACCTACCCGGTACATCCATTATGGGGTGCCAACCTACCTGTGTCAAGCCCTTCTGTGGTGCAGACCTACCCATGTCAAGCCGTTCTGGGGAGCTTACCTACCCTTCGGTCCTAACAACCGAACCTTGGGGACCTCACACTGATGAAGTCCCGTAGACACAATCCCACACTGCTGAAGTCCCGCAAACTCAACCCCAGCTGCTGGATGATAGATTCCGGAACTATCAACACCGAAATAACACCCAATTAATAATTGGGTCCTAACACATATCCATAAATACATACTTGGATAATTACTACATTACCCCAATGTTGGCTTTATTCAAGCCCAAGGCCCAATCCATAGGCCGAAAGTCCAACTAGGAATGAAGGGCCAACATATGGCCAATCTATGGCCCATATTTCCAAATTGGGCCCAACTCCTCATTTGGGTCTTACCTCAAAGCCCATTAATTATTCTAGTCCATTTGCTTGATCTAGGGCGGCCCATTAATAACCCAATCATCAAGGCCCAATAAAAGGCCCAATAATAAACCCAAATGAAATTAGGGTTTTCACATAAAATGAAAATTTCGGTTAAGTGTTTCTCACTTAACCCATTAAGGAATTTATCCACTTGTCCATCATTCTTCTAAATAAGTCATATGGTGTGATTGGGCTTAATCACACAATTCCATTCAAATGGCCCAAAAGTGGGTCCTAATAAGTCCAAGCCCATTAATCCAATATTAGGGTTTTCTAAACCCTAATTAAGGTTTCCAACCCCATCCTAGCCCAATAGGCCCAATTGATATGTCTTTTGATTCATTAAGGTTCATTAGACTCATTAAGGTTTCACTAGGCCCATTAGTCATTTATTTGGGCTTTTAGGTCCATTAAGCTTTATTGGGCCCATTAGAGTTTATTAAGCCCATTATGCCTCATTAGTCCTATTAGGGTTTCTTAGTCCCATTGTCCGAGCATCCAAACAAGTCAAAACACCATAAAAGCACACCGCCACCCGACACGGCGGCCGGTGGCGGCAGCCACCACCTCACGGTGGTCGTTGTCAGTTTTCCTTTCATTACTTAATTTGTAATTTACACTTTACAATGTTGAAATTCAAAATAAACATACACACTAAACAACATAAACACACATATAGCCACCCTATGGAGCCCGGTGGTGGTAGAAGGTGGCAGCCACCACCTCACGACAGTGGTGATGGCCTTTTTCATGATTTCCGACTAAACAACCCATACAACACCTTCTCACAACAACAATACACACACTTACACGCAACAAAACACGCACACAGATCCTTTTGTTTGGACAAATACACCTAACACCCACCTACGGTGGGTGGCGACGGCAACGATATGAGATGGTTGCAACAACATCGACAGTTAACGACGGTAGGCAGCTGGTCGACAACAGAAATGATCAGCAGCAGCGACGAATAGTGGCTCTATGGCGGTAGATTGGCTTATCATCGATCTTCCGGTCACTCACGACCCTCGCAGCAGCAAAACCCCACTCGATCGTCGGTCTTGGCGGTCATCTTGGCGAACACGTTGTTTTCGGTAACGGGGCTGCGACGACGGCAACCCCCTGTGAAGCAGCAATGATTGAATTCTTTCCAAAGGCGGCGGTGGCTAGGGACCCTTGCTTCGACTTGGTCTCCAACAGATCTCTCAGTCAAGAGGATGGGGCACGACTATTGGCTTCAGTGGTTCACGGTCTCAACAATGGCGGTGCGTTGCCGGAAAATGAAGAAGGAGATGAATGATGGCGGCTGGAGGGAGGTGGGGTGACGGCTGCACATAAGGGGGGTTTAAGGTTTGCTAACCCGTGAAGCAAGGTTTTATACCTGGGGCTACTAAACATTATGCCATAACGGCATAAACAATCCCTCTTTCCCAATCTCTTTTCAAACCCGGTCCTTATTTTACCATTTCAACCCCAATCCTGGAAATCCCTTACAAGTTAAGTCCCATACTTTACTAATTAACCCCTCTTTCCATAAATCTTTTCATAATAAATCCCAACACTTACCGAATAGTCACTGCCTTTAGAAAACTTTACAAATTGAATATGGATTTACCATTTTGCCCTTGTTTCCCAAAATCTATTCAAATTAAATCTCGATAATTTATCAAGTGGTCCCTTCCCTCATAATCAATTACGAAACCAGTCTGGACTTACACTTTTAATCGTTAATTTGATTATTTATTTATTAAATAAACAGGGTGTTACAATACATATGGGACCCAGGATTTTTTGAAAGAAATAAAAAGGTATAGTTAGAAGCATATAATATCATTTTTGCTGTTGTATTGTTTTCTACTATGTATCTCAGATTGAAATACTATTTAGGTTTCAGTTTCAAATTGGCTTAAAGAGGAAATAATTAAGAAGAAAGCAGTAATTAGAACTTCAACCATAGAGATTTTCGGGCAGGATACCGAGTCTAATGAAGTTGAAGTTATGGATAGATCTCTTGGGAAAGGAGATCAGATAGATGGAAAAAACATTTCTACAGAAGAAGAGGATGATGATGAGGTTCTATTATGAAAATCTATGATAATTTGATTCATTTAATTTAGGTAGTCTTGGGTATGATCATGATGGAATCAATGAAAAAATGGAATGGTTCATTCCATAGGAATGAAGAAGAAAAACTTGTTTGTGTTGAATGAACCATTCCTGATGGAATATGATTCATTCCAAGTTGTTAATTTTGTCATGTGATAATGCATTCCATTCCTTCAAGCCAACCAAACATTATAATGAAGTGTAATTTTGTCTTGTGATGGAATATGATTCATTCCAAGTTGTAGTCTAGTTTGAACTTTAAATTTGTAGTACATTACTATTGAATTAGGTTTGGGATGATTTTTGTTGGAAGTGGGAATGAATTTGAGTTTTCAAGGTCAAGGTTATTAAGAACTAATTGTGATAACATTAAGTATTATAAAGGCTAACGGGCCCCAAATTTTTGGTTTGCTTAGAGCCCCAAATCTGGTTGAGCCGTCCCTGTGTATATATACCTCATCATCTTCTTCTTCAACCCTTCTTCCATTCTCAATTTGTTATACTCACAATGAATGAATGTGGTGGATTGTGGTGGGAAATACGAGAGACCAAGCTCATGGTTCAAGATCAACACTACGAGAGGACTAGAATGGTGTTCACGGACAACCCCGGGTCCACCTGGACCACGAAGGGTTTCGTGATACCCATACCGGATGGTCTAATAAAGGAACCAATGTTGTAAAAATCATTTGGAGGTAGTTTGACGGTCGATTGGTGATACGTGATTAATCGGATTAGACAATGATTAATCGGGGACCCTAAATTATTAATGAAACAATTTAAAAAATTAATATTTCCTAAAAAATTAAGTATTTGAAAATTTAAAATTTTAGAAAATTTAAAATTTAAAAATTTTAGTATAATGTTTTAAAATTTGAAAACTTAAAAAATAAAAAATTTAAAATATTGGTGTAATATTTGAATAAATTTTTAAATTTTTTTAAATATTTCCCGCCTATAACCGTCGAAGATCGCCAAGACCCGCCAAGGACCGCCAAGCCCGAGTTTGACCAATTTCCATCCTGCAACCTAATCATAATCGGTTCAAGGCGGTTAAGCGATTAATCGGCCGCCAAGACCGATTTCTGCAACACTGAAAGGAACAAAAAAGATGGTAACATGTTGGATTTAAAAATATGATAAATACCATAAATGTCTCAAGTTTTACACGCGTAGTTGGGAAAAACCTTAACATTTTTTGTTTGCTTTGGCCACAAATTTTACGCAAAATTATCACTTTAGTCTACTTAACCACTTTTATGGTTAACTTTCTTATATGTCTTGCAAAATCAATCATAAAACTGGGTTTAAAGTCCAAAATTTGTCCCTATAATTGCAAAAATCCACCATATATCCAAAAAGTTTTCAACTTATACCTCATGTCCATATAGTTTATGACTGATTTAGAGATTTTCCGGCGAGGATAGGATTCTCTGGTGAGACTTTTCCGACAACAAGAGGTTGAAATTGAGTGCATGGGTTTGTCCGCAATGGGGAGAGGAGTAGAAAGGTGATAACGATTTGGATAATGAAGGGGTGATGGAGGCTATAGCAATCATTTTCAGGTGAGGGTGGGTTTTTGGAAGCGAGGATCTCCGGCGGAGCTAGAGACAATGAGGTTGGTTGGGTTGTTGTCGCAAGGGTGGGGTGAACACAGTGGAGGCCTCAATTTGTGGCTTAACGACGATTTAGGGGGTCAGTTTTTGAAGTTGCATGTGGTTGTGGCGATGGCTATGGCGATGTGAGATGACAAAGTTAACCACAAGGACCAATTTTGCAAGAAAGATAACAGAGTTAACCATGAAACTGGCTAAGTGAGTTAGAGTGACAACTTTACGTAAAAGTTGTGGCAAAAGCCAACAAAAAAATGTTCAGGCTTTTCCCAACTATGTGTGTAAAACTTAGGACTTTTATAGTATTTTTTCTTAAAAATAAACCAGATTATTACTCATATTTGTGTAATAGTTGGTTAGTTCAATAAAATTAAGTGGTAAATGAAATAGGGATGTCAAAAAATCCCGTGAGACCCCGAATCTGTGGGACCCCGATCCCAAATGGGGAATATTTGTTTAAAAAATTGGGGACGGGGGCGGGGGCGGGGGCAATGTTAACCCCGTTTTAGTTTCGGGGGCGGGGGCGGGGGTGGGTAGTCCCGTCCCGAACCCCCAATGGGTGCCTCGTTAATATATTATTTATATTAATATATATTAATTATAAAAATATAATAAATAATAGCAATGATTTTGAACTTCCAAAATTCAATTAAATATCTCGTTTTTAAGCTTACAGTATAACATTTTTAAGATGTTATAATATTTTTATTTTAAATATATAAACTTATGCTATAAATAACTATTTTTTTTTAATCCAAAATGGTTTCTTTTAGCTCAAAAAAATAAATTCTTTTATCATAAACAACACCTTCGTTCGCCCAACAAAAAAGTCAACCTAAACGGGGGCGGGGGCGGGGGTAATCCTGGGATTCGGGGGCGGGGGTGGGGATGGGGAGGCTAGAGATTTCGGGGGCGAGGGCGGGGGCGGAGGAACATGAAAATTTCAGGGGTGGGAGCGGGGGATGTAATCCCCGCCCCGTTTGCCCCCGTTGACATCCCTAAACTGAAAGCTAGTAACTGATATCAGGTAATTGTTAGCAATTAGCTGAAAGCTAAAAGTTGTAACTTTTATATATTAAGAAACATTTGACAAACTAGTTGTAAGCTTTTAAAAATGACAATCCATCTAAAAGCTAAAAGTTAAAATATCATAAAAATTAAATGAAGTAATTGAACTTTTTGTTTTAAATAAAAATATTAAATTTGTATTTTCGAACACAACCTTTTCTTTAATACATTTTTTTTACTTTTATTTATTTTGAAAAGTTAAATTCTAAAAGCTTGCTTCCAAACACCCTAATAATCCATTGAAAAACAAAATACATTTATGTGTTGAGTTGAGCTATGAGGTCTGGTACCACACAACACCATATTTATATAGGTGAGCTTGCATACTTGTGACCAGGAGCTGGACCCATACCTTAAGCGACATCGGTTTTATACTATCAAGTCGGTTCTCAATACATCAAATCACACTGAATCGGTTTCGGTTTTATTACTAGCTTGGTACACCGATTCTTGATTATTATTGTTTTTCATATTTTCAACATTTATATGTATTTTGTATAACTTTTTAAAATAACATAACTCATTCTTTTGAAGCTGAATTTTCATAGTATTCTTTCCAACATGTAATTTAGAGTTTGTACTTTAATTTAGATTATCATTTCATCATTTTGGGATATTATTCAATGAGTTACATTCTCCTAAAGCCAGGATATCAAAGTTAAATTTTTTCAACTTTTCAGCTTTTTTGTGTACTCTATACAACTTTTAAATTTGCATAACTCATTATTTTGAAGTTCGGATTAGTATGAGATATTTTTCATCATGGAGTTTAGAGTTTGTACTCCATTTTAGTTTATAATTTCATAACTTTTGGTTCAATATTCAATAAGTTACATCAATATACCCTCTTTCTCCACAACCCGTATATATATATATATATATATATATATATATATATATATATATATATATATATATATATATATATATATATATAAAGAAACTAGATTGATATGGTTGTTCATTATTCGGATATAAATGGATTATCTAGACAAGTAATTCATATTGGAATGTAAGGATAACATATTTGAATGATTGGATTAGGTTCAAGCGGAAACGAAGCTAGTCTTATGAATTTCAGTTAACAAGATGAGAACCAGATTAGTTTACAAAACTAAATAACAAATATATATATATATATATATATATATATATATATATATATATATATATATATATATATACACACACACACAGAGGATTATGACCTACATTTTTACGTAGGGGGGGGGGGGGGGGACATATACAAAATAGATATAAATGTATAAAAAGTTGACACAATAATAAAGCAAATATAAAGTAACAGAAACAAACTTTGCGTTATTCGTAATATTTACATGTCTAAAAAATACAATGAAATGCCTAAATATCTATTATCGTTGAAGGATCTCTTTATAATCAATATTTTTTGTTTTATTAGTTGGATGACTTTCCTCGTCACATACGAGTACTTTCAAGCGTCTTTTAGGTGCTGTTTGTTTTTTTTGAAGCAAAATGTTTGTAGTCTGCGGAT